CAACCCTGGCACTAGCGCCCATGCCGCTCTTCACAAAACCAAAGTCACCGTTGTGGGTAGTGGCAACTGGGGCAGTGTGGCTGCCAAACTCATTGCCTCTAACACCCTCAGGCTCTCTTCTTTCCATGGTATATCTTTTATTTATAATTTGTTTTCGACATTTCCATTTTCTTTTTTTTGCATGCAATGCAAGTCTGGATTTTTATTTATGCCACCAGTCAGAATTTTGGTTTATCCACTATTCTTGAATTCTACGTTTGGATTTGGTTGCTGTCGAGAAACTGAATAGAGCCTGATTTTGGAACAGGGTCTGATTTCTTAAAGAATGTCAAGTTAATTGCATTTCCTTGTTTTATTCTGGGCTTTTGTGGTCTTGGTTGTTCAATGAATGAAAATTCTGATATTCCAATGCATGTTCAGTTGATTTACTTCCATTTTCAATTCGAGTTTTGTTTTTTCTCCAATGAAATTTAGATGAAGTGAGAATGTGGGTATTTGAGGAAACGTTACCGAGTGGTGAGAAGCTCACAGATGCCATCAACCGAAACAATGTAAAAATCAATCACCTTTCATACATTCATTCGTTCCTCTCCTCTTATATGTGATGAGCCAATTCTTCCCATTTAATCTTCCTATCCATTTTCTTCAATAGGAAAATGTGAAATATCTGCCCGGCATAAAGCTGGGGAAAAATGTTGTTGCAGACCCAGACCTTGATAATGCAGGTACTCAATTTCGATGTTTCTAAACTTGTGTAATTTGTTGGGTACTTGGAGCAAATTTTTGTAATTCAAGTGGGGGAGTTTTGCAGTGAATGGTGCAAACATGTTGGTGTTTGTTACTCCACATCAATTTATGGAGGGTATATGCAAGAGACTTGTTGGGAAGATAAAAGGGGATGTGGAAGCTATTTCCCTCATCAAAGGAATGGAGGTCAAGATGGAGGGCCCGTGCATGATCTCTACACTCATCTCAGAGCAATTGGGCATTAATTGTTGTGTTCTAATGGGAGCAAACATAGCTAATGAGGTAATTTGGCCCGAATTTTCAATCTATTTTATAGCTTTCTTGTGCCAGATCATCAAATCTAGTTTATCTGAAATTAGAGACTGTTTGTATAGATTGCTTTGGAGAAATTTAGTGAAGCCACAGTTGGATACAGAGAAAACAGAGCGATTGCAGAGAAATGGGTTCATTTGTTTAGTACTCCCTACTTCATAGTCACACCTGTGAGTACATCAAATACATTGTTACAAATCAATGTCATAATAAAGTACTCTTACTATCATGAATCTTGGCATGGGCGGGAACTACTTTAACATCCACTCAATGTAGTAAGCATTTGATAGCATGTAAGCACTGAAAGCTTTTGATGCATCATAAAATTGGATTTTGTGATTTATATCGACTAAATATTGAAGGTTTGCTCCGTTCACACTTTTTGGGTTGTATGAAATTTATAGGTCCAAGATGTGGAAGGAGTAGAACTGTGTGGGACCCTGAAAAATGTTGTGGCCATAGCAGCAGGTTTGTAGGACACATGTACTCTTACCTTCTTAAGTTTAAATGTGCAAGTAATGGGTTTGAACAGGTTTTGTGGATGGATTGGAGATGGGAAATAACACAAAGGTAAGTTCAAACATTTCTGTATAGTTTGAACCCATGTCTCATCTACCTTTTCTATTTCATTTTGACTGGTTATTTTGAATGACCAGGCTGCAATTATGAGAATTGGTCTAAGAGAGATGAAGGCATTTTCCAAGATGTTGTTTTCATCTGTCAAGGACAGCACCTTCTTTGAAAGCTGTGGTGTTGCTGATCTCATCACAACATGCTGTAAGGAAGCAGGAGGATTTCTTCCTTCTATTTATTTTATTTTTCTTTCTTAAGTTTCTGTCTAACCTCAGTGTGTATGGCAGTGGGTGGAAGAAACAGGAAAGTTGCTGAAGCTTTTGCAAGGGGTGGAGGGAAAAGGTAAAAGCTTTAAAGCTCCAGCAGATAAAAAACCTTGTAAAAGTAAAAATTATTTAACTATCGCCCTTATGTTTGTTGTCTGCAGATCGTTTGACGAGCTCGAAGCAGAAATGCTGCAGGGTCAAAAATTACAGGTTTATATTAAACATTATAAACAGATAACTGAACTGTGTTATTACTCAGATTTGTACATTGATTACATATGCACAAGAAGTTGTGATGGTTTCCAAACATATCTTTGTTATCTCTAACTTGTTAATAGTATCTGGAAGAACCTTAAGAGGATTTGTATTTTGAGTCCACAAACATATCTATAGCCTGATCTTGGGCAGATGCAGCCTGAAGCTATCTGTTTATATCTCTCACTATTTAACAGTTATTTTTTCTTTTTCTGAAGGGTGTGTCAACAGCAAAAGAAGTTTATGAAGTTCTAAGCCACCGTGGGTGGCTGGAGTTTTTCCCACTGTTTGCAACAGTTCATGAGATCTGCATTGGCTCCCTTCCTCCATCAGCCATAGTTGAGCACTCTGAGCGCAAACCTGAACTCTAGCTGGCTCTCTCCGATAAATGGCAGTTTATTCAATTAAGCTCGTTTGCAAGAAAGCGAGGACTAGGTGAAACTTGGAATGTTGGTTCACACAGAAGTCAGCACTTTGCAACAATAGATGGTTGCAGGAACAAAATACATAACCTGCTCAGAAGCTATTTTCACTGACAGGAATGAAATTAGAATGTGTAATCAAATTGTACTCATGTTTCACGCAGAATGTGTAATCAACACCAAGTTGTAAACTGCTTTAGGGAAGATACGAGTAATACAATAAAGAACTAGAATCAACCATTTCTGGTGTCACAATTTGAGAATGAGAGATTGAAATATTGATTGAAAGCTGATGGAGTTGAAAACGCAACGAGAGGACTTTGAGTTTCAATCCAGCTTATTGGCGGGCCTGGACCGAGTTTACAACCTAAAGGATTAAACATCGGAAATTGCTCCAAATAGTCAATTGTCGTTTCCAAATCCAAACTAGTTTGCATCCTCCCTGAGTTTATCAGCCATCGCGTTTGTATACCTTAGTGGAGATGCGATGTAAAATTAGCTAGCACCGTTTGTGATTAAAAAAAGGGAGTTTCACTAAAACACCCAAAATGGGGGTTGAAATTATAAAAAAACCCAAGCACTATTGAAACATATAAACACACCCAAAACCCATCATTACACACACTCAAAACCCATTTATAAACGCACCCAAAAAGTTGACTTTGGGGTTGATTTTGGGTGTGTTTCTATGTTTAAATAGTGCTTGGGTTTTTTTATAAATACATGTCTAGGATTGGGTTTATTTATAAATTTGTATTAAAAAAAAGATGGTCGGGCCTTCGTTATTGGTATTCCAAAAAATAACGGTGCTTAAAAAAGACAGTCGTACCTTTGTTATTGGTATTCCAAAAAAGTTATTATGTACTGGCACTTTAAAGTTAGTAGAGAGCACAATGATAAT